TCATTGTCAGGTACACACTCCGTCCAATTATTGTCCTACTTCCATCTTCTTTTTATGGCATATATTTAAATCTTCCTAAATACTGACACATTCTAAAAAAAAATTGCGATAAAATAAATATGTTGGTATTGTTTGCTACTTGTATCATTAGATAATATCAATATTACTTTTGAAAGAAATTAAGTTACCTACAAAACTATATAAAAATCATTCATTTCACACAACTATTAACGAAGTTATAGCTATTTTAATTTCATATGTAAAATTACGAGTTGAAATCCCGGTGCCAGAAAGGGGTGACAGAGGAAGAAAAAAAAAATAAGGTATGTGCTTTAGACAACACGATACAAGTGAAAACAGCAACAAGGCGAAATTAACAATATAAAATATAAATAATAGCTCCTTATAATAGAGTCAAATGCTGAACATTTTCCTCGCTTACAATATGCAGGTCCGATTTTTCTGAGATATTTTGATCCATATCTTCCGTAAAACGCTTTAATTTGAGTATGCGGTTCTATTGTATCTCAGTATTTTTCAATTATTTGTATTACATCTTTCCGGTTGATATTGGTAAATAAATTTTCTACATCAAAACAGACCAAGTAATATTTACCTATTGTCTATTTTATTTATTCTTTCAAGCATTTGATCCACCTCCATTGAGTTTTTTTACATCATTGTTATCTGATTTTAGGTTATTGAGTGTGGAATTGAGATATTTAGCCAATTATTTCAGTTTCTCCATTGATATTACTAAGGATAGGACTAAGTGGAGCACCCATGTATTCTATGTGTGTTGTAGTTCGGGTTAATTAGTTTAATTTCATTTAATAAGAAACTTGTTAGGTTAATAACAAAGTTCTATTGCATAAAATATAGATATCAAAGCAAGGTCAATCAGTCTTCTTAATGATTTATAATTAACTTATTTAAATTAGTGATATTTACTAGTTTGTGTTGTATCCAACGACTGTATAATATTTATGAGGAAATCTGCAGTTGGAAGGTTATATAATATTATATTATTATGTATTTTCCATTATGCCTAAGGATGTCTGCTATTATTATCATTTTATTATTATCCCTCTTCCTATTTTTAATATATTGTTAATAATATTGTTAAAATAAAATTTCAATGTTGTAATAATATTAGCATTCGTACTATATATAGCAGAAACTTGTTATGATTTTGTTTTAGACACTATATTTTCCCTTCTCCTGCTCTGTAATACGGTGTAAGGTTAAGAAAGAATTTTGAATAATAGCTCATCACAAAGAAGATAAAATGCTGAACATTTCCCTCTCTTACAGTATGCAGATCCGATTTTTACTATCTGAAATATTTTAATTCATATATTCAACTAACCTCGTTATCATTTGGTTTTCGATACTATTTTTTTGTTTTTCGCATCTCTTACACGGTGTCGCAATAAGATAAAATTTTGAATTATAGCTTATTGCAGAGAGGATGAAATGCTGAACAATTTCTCCGAATACAGTATGCAGGCCCGATTTTTATTTTCTGAGATATTTTAAACCATGTATAAAAACATTTCAATTAGTCGACTATAGCCGACTTTACCCAAGCGTTAAAATCTGACGGATCAATCTAATTCACTCTCCACAAAAAAACGCAAAACGTGCCTAAATAAGTTTCTACTTCAAAACACAATTTTCACTTTTCCCTGAATTTTACAGAAATTATTGTTTGACGAAATTGCAAAAAATTGTTTGAATAGTGTAATGAATTTTTTACGCTGACCTTCAAGAAGCCAGTTTACATTGCTTCAGTTTATCAAAAAATTGTACTGAAATATTTTCTTCCATAATTTTTTAGGAAAATAAATTCAATTTTTTTGGGGGGGGAGGGGAGGGGTTTAAAGGAAGTATTTAAAGATATAAAAACTTTTTTGAAATCGGTAGGAAAGTCATGTGAATAGACGCCCCAGATTTTTTTTTTCAATTACTGAATTTGATGACAACTTTTTGTCCACTCTTAAACATGAAATCGTAAAAAGTTTGAATAATAAATATAAGTTATTATAAATATAATATTTTCTAATATGAAATATTAGAAAACTAAAATTTTACCGACATTTTAAAAATGATATCTCATAAAAAAACATCAGGAAAGAATCGCTTATGGTTATTAATGTTCAAAGAAATTATTTAAAAATGATATTGAAAAGAAAATTAAATAGTTAAGTACCATTTGAGTTAGCAAATAGTTCGAAGAACGGCGTGCGTTAAACGAACTGACTTTTTAAGTTAATTTTTGCTATGCTGTGTTCAGAATTCAGTTTTGGGGTAAGAATGATTAATACATCATTGTAATGAATCACATCAAATAAATTTGTACTGGACAACAAAACGATCGCTCAGTAAGATTAGAATGAAAATAGTAAAAATGTACCAGTTGCAAATTCGTTACGTTAGCATGGTGCCGACGATATGAACTTACGAACTAGACAAACCACAAAGTATATTATATTGTAGGTGATCCAAGATCGTAAGCATAGAAATATTAATCAAAAGTTCATTGATTTGAGTTATTTCTATTGTAACTTTATCTCTGTCAATGAAAACTTAATAAATGAAACATTATTAACCCTTAAAGTGCGAATATTTTTTGTCACAATTACGACTACGAAGTATAAGTTTTTTTTTTGTTTTTTTTTTATTTATTATAAAACTCCTTCGTGCATTACTTCTTCATAGTTGATTTATTTTTTTATTTCTTAATTTTTCAAATTTCACAAACAATTCTAAAATCGTTTTCCATTTACATAATGGCTAGTGGATAGAAACGTCAAAAAAGACTGAATATTAAAATGAATTTAGTTGAATAAATCTATTTATAATCGGGGCCAGAGCTATTTCAAACTTCGAGTAGGATTATGGCGATGTTTGTAGGTGATAGGGATTCTACTAATAAGGGTTTGAGATGATGTTTAAGTTATGATGAAAGTTTGAGAATCTGAAGGGAATAACAGCAAGGACGTAAAGGATCTTGAGGTCGTGATGTAAGCATTAGTTTAGAATATTTAGGATTCATTAATGCTCCAAGGAATTAAGACTGAAAGAATTGGATAAGTTTGGTGAAAATGTAACTACCAACTCAATTCCATAGGTCCACATTGGTGTCAGTATAGTATTTTAAATTGAAGATGTTTCTTTCAATTGAAAGATAAAATGTCTGTTATGTAGTCTATATAACTGGTCAAATCGTAGGTTAAGATTTTATCTTTTAAGTTTAGGAGTAAGTTCCGCGTAAATCCCATGGCTAGCAGTAAGTTCAGCAAATTTTGCTAAGAAGGCATTGGGTTTTGGAAAGATGTCAACAGTGAAGAGGGTCTATAGAACTTGGCAACATCTCTCTGAACTGGATAATAATTGAAGAGTTATCTGGACCAACAGACTTGGAAGGAACGATTGAAGAGGTAGGATTAAGTATATGGATTCGGTTAAATGGATTTTCAGTCTCCCATCAGGCCCCACCCAGTCGAAAGGTAGTGCAACTACCAAAAATACGCCAGTGCAATATTACTTGTTTTCAAGAGTAAAGGATTTGTAACCAGCCACGCGAAGGCTTTGTTGTACTGTGGAATGTACGGAGCGAAATCCAAATTGATTTAAGGGTATTTTAAGGAATTCGAGTATATACAGGATTCATAATTGGTAAATGGTTGACTGTCGTGGATAATGAAGAGAAGAATAGTTGGGGTGGTCAGTCAAAAAAGAAGGCAAAAATAAATGATAATATTTATTTTTACATATGCCGACGTTTCGACCTGAAGTTCAGGCCTTCAGGGCTAAGAAAATAATCAGATAACAAGGTATGAGAAACATAAGTAGTGATGGTAAAAGAAAAAAAATTAATAAATAGATATGAAGTAAAATGAAATTGTTAGAATAATGACTAAGAACTAAGAGATAAATAATAATAACCGTTACAAAGTGTGGAATGATGAAGTAGGCATAATCAAAAAGGGTGACATAAGTGTTACAATGGGAATCTTAGAATAAAATGTAAAACATAAAAAAGAAATATGAAGTTATATAAGAAATGAAAATAAATAGTAAAATTAAGACATTGAGAATGGAGTAGTTAGATAGAAAATTGAGATATTGTAAAGTTTATCAAGATGTACAGACAATGTATAATATAATAAAGAGTTAAAAACAGAGAAAAGGAATGAAAGGAAGGAGGGAAAAAATTGAGAAAGCTGAAATAAGAAAGAAATAAAAGAAGTACTACCTGTCTCCTTAAGTGTTGCAGGGAGAATAAAGGTCGTTGCAAGGGAGGGGGAGAGAGAAGAGATGTGTAGGTGGCGTCATCTCTAACGGTTATCCGACGAAGTTTGAACTAAAGCACCGGAAGCGTAAATAGGTACGAGAGATATATTACTCAGAAATATTATGGAAAATATACAGGATTCGCTTGAAAAGGTATTTTTACACATTTCTAAAAGGATCGAAAGCAAGGTTATTGGATTATAGTGTTTGTGCTATGTGGATGAAATGTTGTGCTATATTGACATGGTTTAAATAATTCAACAATTATGGAGTGTTTACCCATCAACGGAAATTGGTTTGTGCGCTGGATACGATGATATAGGTAGGTAAGGAATGTAATAGCTTTTTCTGAAGTTTTAAAAGAATCTAGGAAATGAGAAGATTTTCAGTTTTAGTTTACTTGTCAGAGATTTGATCAAAGACGGGCTTTATTTATTTAATGTGTTTTTAATTGCATTGTTTCTGAAGCCGTCATTTACTCCAGAAACTTAAGACAGGGATATCAGAGTTTTAGGACTAGTTGTGCCTCCAGGCACCAAAGTCAAATTTAAAAGTCTGTTATTTTTCTCTCATCATTTATAAGGAGAAATGTCCCCGAGAATTAATTCCGAGTGTTTGCCCAGAAAAATCAAATGAGGAACCAATGCCTGGCCTAAATAAAGTAGAAATACCCTAGACTAATTTATAGAACGGATAATAACTTACAGGTTAACGATGAAAGGGTGTCGGATTCCAGACAGGATCTCTCGTTCATTGCGGACGTGTTCAACCTGCTTCAGCCTTATGACGTCACTGATGGCCAATATCTTGACGGCCAGGTAGCCCCCTCTTGACTTCTCCCTGCAAAGGCAGACACGTCCGAATGTACCAGTACCTGCAAGCAAGCGGGAAACTCATCAGATCGGATGCAATAATACTTTTTTTAATATGATTAAAAAAATTACTCGAATAGTGTTGATTGAATGTTAGTATCCAAAAACTCTATAATGAATATCATGAGGCGTGGATTATAATTAATTGAACAATGGAACTAGCCGGATGGATTAGACTCAGTATCGTAACCCGCATCCGCCGAATTTGATACCTTCCAATATGATAAGTGATCAGCCAAAAAAAATTGAAGTGATAGGCATGGATATATTACACAGAATGTTTCAGAGTTAAGTGCCCAAACTGCAAAAATGAACTCAGGACCTCAAAACAAAAACAAAAATTTCCTCTGAAGGTATGTCCGCAAAGTTTAGATATTCACACCTAAAGATTTTCGTTGTTTGAATTATTTACGTTATATGAAATAAATAAAAACTATTTATTTGTTCTAACTACTTTATTAGTTAAATGTAAACATTAATATTCATATTAAATGTTGTTCAAAGTGAAAGTATGTCCGCAAACCCTTTGTTTAGGAGATGAATTAGATAGGAGGCTCATTTCTAGACTTTCTTAATAATGAATTCTGTGATTTAGTTGAACTTATCCCACTACAACTGAGAAGGGACATGTAGCTTCAATTAGATGGTTGTGCTGCACATTACGGAGGACCAGTGGCTTGGCCTGCACGCTCTCCAGACCTGACACCACCGGATTTTTTTTGTTTAGGGTAACATTAAACAAAAAGTCTACACAAGTCCGGTCAATGACCTTAATTCCTTACGAAGAAGGATAATTGAATCTTGTGAAACAAAAACACAAATCCAGTGCCGTTCTGCCACTGCTGCTGTTGAAGAAAGATACCAACCCTGTCTTAGTGCTCAAGGAAATCACTTTGAACAACATTTAATATGAATTTAATATTTATGTTTAATTAATAAAGTAGTTGGAACAAATAAATAAGTTTTATTTACTTAATATTCATAACAACGAAAATCTTTAGGTGTGAATATCTAAACTAAACAAAGCGTTTGCGGACATATCTTCAGAGGTAATGTTTTTCTTTTTTTGAGTTCCTTAGTTTATTTTTTTAGTTTGGCCACTTAACCCTGAAACACACCGTATAAATTTAACATATAATATTCCTGGAAGAATATTATAGAAAGAAAATGGAAAATGTGTAATTAATTTATAGATTAAATAATCAGTACTCAGACATTATTATTTGTTTTATATTATTATTTATTTACATCACAGTCAAACAACTTTAATGAAATATACTGAATTTAATTTTAGATGTAGCGTTTGGTGAACCCAGTTGTTTCCACCTTATCATGCAGTCGTTTAGGTATAACATTTGAGTTCTGACGACGATGTCGATAATAGATTCAAATTCTATTCCATTAGAAAAGTATAAGATACAGATCTTAGATGAATCATGAATGAGACAAATCATGAAGCTTAGTTAGTGCAGCCTTGAAGACCAGGTTTAACCACTTGATGCGCAAGAAAAAAAAATAATTTCTCAATTTGTTGAGTAGTTTCATGATTATTTTATAAAATTAATAATGTTGAAGTATTAATGTTTTTCAAATAATCGTTAAGTAAAATGAAATTTATTTTCATTCAATTTATTTTTTTAATTATATCTGGAAGGGTTAAATCCTTCAAAAAACTACATTTATATTCCTATAAATTGAACTACTGCCCCATCATAATATACACTCTATACTTAACGTAATAGTTTTATCAGCTCAAGATTTAGTTATAGAAAGTAAATAGTTGATATCGTTGACCCCTCACGTTTCGTCGTACAGTTTTCTGTTCCTTTTTTTTCTTTGCTTTAATGTAATTTTTTGCACTGAGAATATATATTAATGCTAGTAACTTGGATTCTAGCCAAATTGCCGCACTTGATCCACATCCAGTGCAAATTTTGTAAGTCATTTGATCTGATATGACAAGTCCAAAAATATGTTTAGAAAAATACTAATGTATTTAAGGAAATTGAATACGATCGATTTATGACAAAAATATGAACTGAAATAAAAACTTCAATTTTCTTTCTGTAACTGTTATTAGCTTGAAAAATATTTATTTGTTATTACCAAAGAACGAATAATCTTCAAGTTATTAAAATGACAAGCTTAGGTATCATAAACGAAGTTGTAAGTTAAAAAGGTTTTTACCAGACCTAAGTGTGGAACGGTATTGACTTTTCTGTAATTATTTGTTTAGAAATCAATTATAATTCTGTATAATTTCAAACATTTTTACGATACACTCAGCAGATTTGTTCACTATAGCAGTAGTATAACTCATAATATTACCTAGCAACCATGATAAATTGTTATTCGGTTACGACTCTCGATTTCACTATTATTTACAATCATACCAATAACAATTGTTTAATACCAAACATTATTACTTTTTATTTTAGATCGCTTGTTTATTGATAAATATTACAATCTTTCTCAATTAAGGGCACTTATAATAGAGTTCAGAGAGCACATTCACACCTTATATTACTTTTTTAGATAGGTTAGATTTGTAGATTGATAGATGATAGATTTTACGCGGGGCTCAGGTAGAGATGGAAATATGCTAACTTGAGTATTCAGTCCCGAGTATTTTACTAAAAGACTGAATGCATGAGTTTCAATACTTCAGTCACGTCCTCTGTTCATGATTGAGAAGAATAAAATTTAATCATAACCATCTAAACTTTAATCATCTCTCTTTCTCAGTACTTTCTAATTTGTATATTACATTAATAGATCTAAAATTAAGATTAATGTATACACGTTCTAATTACATGCGAATTATTAATCAATTTAGACTTTATAATGTTTCAGTCACTCTAGATACCAACAATTTCAGATTTCTTTTAAAATAATGTCGACATTAAGATCACGTGATATGTATAGATTTATGTAAGTTTCCGTATTACTCGGTTTTATATTATCTTATGGAAGATCTGAGGCGTTACTTTTGAAAATAAGATTTTTAGTTAGAGATTATGCCATTGCGTTTCGATTAATTTGAGTTTTTCGGATTTCTTCGATATAAGAATCTATTTATATGTTTTTAGAGGCGTAGTTTTCGGAAATAATCTCCATTTTAAAATTATGATGCCACGTTACGATTTAGTTAAGTTTTTCGACATAAAGGTCTATTAACATGTTTTCGGAGATGTAGTTAACAAGTAGGGCCATTTTAAGTACAAAGCTACAAAATCAGCTATCATATCATGACAATCCACTTACATTTTTTATACTAATTGTAATAATTTGTAATCGTATATTATTGCAAGTAGATGCCACAGTATTAAAAAATAAATTCACATTAATAATAGTTTAACTTCTATCCATTTTGGTTGAAATATAAATAAGGCAATCGTATTTTTTATTTTATTTTTTTCCGACGGTGATGCCTCACAATTTTACTCACTCATTTACTCATGGTAATAACAGTTAAATTTATTCAGCCTTAAGCAAATTTAGTTGTAAATAAGATGGTATATACAAACAAAATCTGTGGCTTGCAGATCTAGACTGGTGGCGTTTTTTTTTTCTGTTTTTTTTTTCGGGAAAATGATTCCAACCTAGTCTAAAAAATGCATGTTATTTTCAAAACCAACATATCTGAAAATACATTAATGAAACTTTAAATCGAATAAATCGAAATTTTTTTTTTTTTTTTTTACGCGATAGTGAGATAAATGGATATTATTTTCAAAATCTACATGTTTTGAAATATTCTATATCTGCAAATATTTAACAGATACCGGGAACAATTACTTTAAAACATGTATTAGTGGAATGTAATCTGTGCAAAGATGCGGAACATCAGATAAGAATTAAGTAAGCTAATGGGGAACCTTAATACTAATCAGAATCTTCAAACAATTGCAAATTATGAAAGAATAGTTCCTTTAAGCTAATGTAGTGATGCATCGCACCAAAATGATAAATAAATAAATGGTTTAAATAGTCATTATAAAAGCCATTGATACCTAAAGGAATACATTTTAAATCAGAAATACAGCTTCATTATCCTCTAGAATTTCAAAAACAAATATATTGGAAGATATCTTTTTATTCTTCCTAAGATTCCTGATGTTTTTATTATTAAAAAAAAAAAAAAAAAGATTTGCTCAATAAAGTTAGGACACTGACTTTACAAATTTAATGAAACACGTTTGAACTTGGGAATCGAAGATTTACGAAATAAAAAAATTGCTTCACGGATTACACACAAAACTTCCATTTATTAAACTAATTTGAGTAGATATTAATTTCTGTTCGAATATGATTAGTTAGTCAAATATTGAAATCTAATACCGGATTCTAATTTTATTAAAATCTAATTATAACAATGTTTCTTCATTTCCGTAAACACTACTTGATATATTTTTAGCAGCATGTACTTCTTTCTTTGCATTACTTAAAATAGTTTTATTAACAATAACAGTGATGTAATTCGGTACACCACATATTTTAGATTTATCAAGGTTGAAATAAATTTTAAAAACTTCCACAACGATATATAATATATCGTACAATATATATCGTCGCTTTATTTGCAAAAAGTCATTAAGTGACATTTTATAACCTTAAAGAATTAAGTACTTTGATGAACTTTATCTTTGTGAAATAAGAAAATTGTGCAGTAAGTGTAACTGTATACGATAAATAAAAGGTTGTGTGCCATTTTCATGCCTTTACGGTGTTTTTTTTTATCGATAAGAACGAAATCCAGAAAAATATAATTAAAAGTTAACCTATACCAAATATGCACTTAGTGACTTTTTGGAATAAACCGATGATATTACTGCTCATATTCCAGAAAATTCACCTAAACTTATTTCTTATTTTTTCTGCTAATGTTAATAATAAAATTCTTAAATAGATTGCATTTAACCTTAAAATCGCTAAAGCTGTTTTTAAAAAAATCTTCTGTAGTCCTACTTTTCACTCCACAGTTGGAGTTCCCTTGCCTGATTGTAAATAGTGTATATAGGCTTGAATTTGTTCTTTTTAATTTACTTATCTTTAAGTTATTTTATTTTTATTTATAGTGTGTACTTTTTTATTATTATTTTTCATCAATTATGTTATCTTTTCTCTATAGAGCAAGTAAAAACAATCAAGTGATGACTCACGAACTATTCTTTAATTTAAATTTAAAAAGAAACA